TCAGTGGTTCCAGTCGGTCCTCCGGTGGTAACATCTGGTTCTAACAACTGACTCTTCAGACTCAGTGGTTCCAGTCGGTCCTCTGGTGGTAACATCTGGTTCTAACAACTGGCTCTTCAGGCTCAGCGGTTCCAGTCGGTCCTCCGGTGTTAACATCTGGTTCTTCAGACTCAGCCGTTCCAGTCGGTCCTCTGGTGGTAACATCCTGTTCTAACAACTGGCTCTTCAGACTCAGCGGTTCCAGTCAGTCCTCCGGTGGTAACATCTGGTTCTAACAACTGGCTCTTCAGACTCAGCGGTTCCAGTCGGTTCTCCGGTGATAACATCTGGTTCTAACAACTGACTCTTCAGACTCAGCGGTTCCAGTTGGTTTTCCGGTGGTAACATCTGGTTCTAACAACTGACTCTTCAGACTTAGCGGTTCCAGTCGGTCCTCCGGTGGTAGCATCTAGTTCAAGTGCTGAGTTCTTGGGGACCAGGTTCTGCATACTGTCCTTGACTCGATTAAGAATGGAGAGTGTCTTAAAGATCCGGTGACAAACAGTGTTTGTTGCATTTCTTCTGCTTGTCCTGTCCAGTAAAAACTGTATTGCACAATCAATCTACAAAATAGAGAACAGGGAGTACGTGGAACGTCTCCTTCGACTTTCGCAAAATTTGACACTGAAGAATTTGTTTTCATATATTCTCTGGCTAAGGAAATTTTGCAGTTTTAACTTTTTCCCCCTCAAAAATAGCAAAATAATAATAAGTGGACAAAACATACAGTAGAGATTTTTCTAAAGGAATTTACTTTATAAATATCTTATTCTAAACTATTTAGTACACATTACTATACGAGGGTTGTTAGAAAAGTTCGCGGACACATTGAATTACGGAAAATCTTTTGTGTACTGTGAAGTATGACCTATGTCTGAATAAATTCCTACATTTTGTTTATTGGTATGTAAAAAATTAAGTCCATATAATGAAATCTTGAAAATTTACAACGATTTTTACTATGAGGTCATGGGATTCACGGAGCAATCACTTGACGTAAGGCGACGTGACAACCAGACTTCAACCCGTTAAGCTTTGTCGCAGTTCTATAAATCTTTCATTTCTTCAGATTTTTCTTATCTTTTTTCTACTTTAAAATTGAATATCTAAATCAAGACATGTTACTTTTCTACTATAATGTCTTTTGTACTGATTCGGATATTACTGAGATCTTTAAAAACATCTATGCAGTTAATCGACCAGGTATTGAAACTATGCAAAACCATATAGGCGCAATGCAACGTCCAAGCGATAAGGGGGTATTGAAGTGTCGATGGAGTTAATCATTCAAAATGTTAATCCTTTCGTTCTTATGAAGCTACAACCATTTGAAAACTTGTCCTTTGTATGTGTAGGAAATTCCCGGCAGCATCTTGAACATTTTAATCTCTTTTCAGACATTTTCCTGTCTGCACACATAATTTTTACGCAGTGCAGTGCTCCATGACGCTCAGTGACGTTCCGATTTTTGGCTGTGTTTTTACGCGTTGATCATTCATAAACGGCTAAAAAACAGTCATATACCCTCCAATTTAGTTCAAAATTTCTCCCAGTGACGTTTTATGAATACTTTAGCGGCAGGTAAAATATCATAAATCTCTTTGTGCTACAATTGTGCAATTTTTAATTTTGATAAAAAGATTTTGTGATGTAAACGTGCCTAAATGTAGCATGCTCCGTGAAGCAAGTTTTATCAAAATAAAAAAGCTGTATACATTTCAGTAATCATCGGAGAGCACCAAATTCTTGTATATTTATTGGAGAAAAGGTTAAGATTTTATCTGGAAAGTTTGACCGGTTTCGTGGAAATAGTGCGTTCACAATAGAAATTGTCCGCGAACTTTTCTAACACCCCTCGTATATTCATGTTCAGTACTAGTATTATATATCATGTCAATAAAATTACCCAACTGTTGACATAGTATACAGTCATATTCTATATAAATGTACTGAACGAAATGAAAGCGTAGATGTGAAGAGAATGCAGAGAAATAAGGGAATAAAAATACATATGAATGTTTTAAACAATGTTCAGTTAAAAGATCAGTTCTAAACCCCTACCTCTTTATCAATTCTTACACACAGAGAATTCGGGGTCGGGGTCTTTCTCAATCAAGTTGCTGTCGGTAATGCTGATGATGTCATTTTTCTGGGTCCCTGTTTCTGTCCGTTCTTTATCTCTTTTGGTCGGTGTTTGGGATTTCACAGCTGATGATGGGACATTCTGTGGTGAGAGTGTAGGAAAATCTATTATATCAAATCAAATTCATGAAATAACAAGTAAATTCAGAAAATGTGGTTCTTTGCTTTAACTTATAGGTTAGGTTTAAACATTAAGGTCATTATAATTAGGTCAAGGTCATTACATCAAAAATTAAAATAAAATCAGAAAAGCAGGGTTCGACATTAACGTTAGTCCGTTAGTCTCGGACTAATAGATTTTCATTCGGACTACTACTGATTAGTTTGAACGGACTAATAAAGTTTTCTGGGAAAAAATAATTTACCAATGTTTAATTATCAGTAACTTTCAATGGAAAACCCCATATGTATTTTTAGCTTTCTAGCTTCTTGGCAGGAAGTTAGGTAATTCTGAGTCAATTCGGTGCTTAAAATTGGGACTCATTGGTATGAAATAAAACATTTTAGCAATCATGATTTAGAATGATACAAAAAGAAAGATGTCAGACGTTTGGATGATGTATAATCATATATGGAAAAAAAAAACGAATGAGATCGGGAATTAATGAAGGTAGTTCCTGATCGCACGATTTCAATGTATGTTGGTATAAAACATTTCAAGCAAATGCTTTGTTTATTTCAAAAAACGGAAAAAAAGTAACATATTGAAATGTTTATTCTGTTTATTTATTGATATTTTTTGACGAACTCATAAAATCGCCTGCGGACTAGTAAAAGTAAAGAAGTACTAGTCAGGCCGGGCCAAAGCCTAAAAATGTTAGTGTCGAACCCTGAAAAGTCCTGTCACATATGGGCCACATTGGTTGAGGTCTAACATCAAAATAAAGGATATGACATAAAATATTTTTTTTAAAATTCAACAGAAATTTTCATCCCATGTACATGTAATACATATTTTTTAAAAACGAAACCATTTTGTCTTTACTCATTGAAAAATTATTATCATACATTTAAAGATTTTGTAACAGTCAGACTGCAAACTGACAGATGGGCAATGTATTTACTTGAGTCTATAGGTTTACTGATGACATGTATGGGATGTCCTCATCTCTGGGATCTGAGGGAACTCCCGGGGGCACCTGCTGGAAGCTGCTATACACAATATCATTTGCCCTCATTCTGCCACTTCTCAGTTAAAACAACAACAGGACTGCTCAGCTGAAAAAAAAGATCAATTTCTTATTAACTTTAAATTAGTTTACATGTCTATTTATCATGTTCATAAAATTAAAGTTTACTTTTAGTTGATACATGTACATATATAGTCAGTGTATACTACATATAGCTAATCTAGATTTGGTGTGTGTATATATGGTGAAATCACTTGATTCTTGCTCTCAGTTACTAATAACTTGTCTGCATGACACAGTGGGTAGAGTGTCTGCTCAAGAGTTGCGGAGTAAGGATTTGATCCATTGCAAGTTCAATTCTTACTGTAGGACATGGAGACCAGTCCCTTGGATAAGACAAATATGGTATAAACCCAGTGAACCCAGGGAACAGCCCTTTATGTACCTGCTGGGCCCATACTCTGGACAGTGCCCTGTATGGACCTGCTGGGCCCATACTCTGGACAGTGCCCTGTAGGTACCTGCTGGTCCCATACTCTGTCCTGTATGTACCTGCTGGGCCCATACTCTGGGAACTACCCTGTATGTACCTGCTGGGCCCATACTCTGGGAACTACCCTGTATGTACCTGCTGGGCCCATACTCTGGGAACTATCCTGTATGTACCTGCTGGGCCCATACTCTGGACACTGCCCTGTAGGTCTCACACAAGGAAATAATTTCACTATATATTACGATATAGCTTGAACTGAATTATTTAATGAATTAGACTCTCAGTAGAAAAATTCATGAAAGAGAGAATAAAGATTAATGCTTAAACAAAAATTTGAGATCAGGAAATATATGCTTTATGCGGCTCTTAAGAAAGAAAATTGACAGTAAACTTACCTACCCCGAAATGCACGTGGGATTCACATGTTGACAAAAAACCTACACACCATCCAGGAAGTTGCATCATGCGCACCTGAAAAAAAGAGTTCCTTTTAAATTCAGTGGCCTGGGATAATTCTGCTAAAGATGATATTCCTAGTACATGAGTCCAAATTTGATACGGAAATACAGAAAATGTCTATTATTTATTTATCTTTCATATGCTAGTGCAAAAAAATTTATTTTTGTCCTTAAGGGATGGAAAAATAGGAGATAACTCTTCCTAACAGTTTGTGTATTGAATTTTAGGCTAAATTTCTGTACAAATTCATCTATAGTATATTGATTTCAAAACTTAAAAAACCAGAAGTCTCTGTCGAGACTGAAGCTCTACTGGTTTGAACTTATAGCAAAGGAAGAGAAAAGTACTTAAGCAGCTGGGATTTGAAACTTTATAAACAGCATTAAATAGAATAATGATCGTTGATAAAGTCTCTTTATGTTCTTAGTGTAGTCTACTTGTGTGCCAAGTTATACTGAAATCAAACCAAAACTGTAGGAGGAGTAGCATTTTGAAACAATTTTACAGACATTTCTATTTTTAGTAACCATGGCAACACCGTTCATCGAAATCAAAAACCGATACACAGAATTATGTATCTTAGTGTATTCTACTTGTTTGCCAACTTATACTGAAATCAAACCAAAGCTGTAGGAGGAGTAGCATTTTGAAAGAATTTCACAGAAATTTCTATTTTTAGTAACCACGACAACACCGTTCATCGAAATCAAAAACCGATACACAGAATTATGTATCTTAGTGTATTCTACTTGTTTGCCAAGATCAGACCAAAACTGTAGGAGGAGTAGCATTTTGAAACAATTTCACAGAAATTTCTATTTTTAGTAACCACGGCAACACCGTTCTTTGAAATCGAAAACTGATAAACAGAATTATGTATCTTAGTGCAGTTTACTTGTGTGCCAAGTTATACTGAAATCAGACCAAAACTGTAGGAGGAGTAGCATTTTGAAAGAATTTCACAGAAATTTCTATTTTTAGTAACCACGGCAACACCGTTCATCGAAATCAAAAACCGATACACAGAATTATGTATCTTAGTGTATTCTACTTGTTTGCCAAGATCAGACCAAAACTGTAGGAGGAGTAGCATTTTGAAACAATTTCACAGAAATTTCTATTTTTAGTAACCACGGCAACACCGTTCTTTGAAATCGAAAACTGATAAACAGAATTATGTATCTTAGTGCAGTTTACTTGTGTGCCAAGTTATACTGAAATCAGACCAAAACTGTAGGAGGAGTAGCATTTTGAAAGAATTTCACAGAAATTTCTATTTTTAGTAACCACGGCAACACCGTTCATCGAAATCAAAAACCAATACACAGAATTATGTATCTTAGTGTATTCTACTTGTTTGCCAACTTATACTGAAATCAGACCAAAACTGTAGGAGGATTAGCATTTTGAAAAATTGTTTACAGACAGACGGACGGACGCCGGACGCATTACTATCCCATAAGCTCTTCTGGTCTCTGACCAGTAGAGCTAAAAATAATGAGTGAATTATTGAGAAAAAAAAATGAATGAAATGAAAGCATAAATATTGGAGTTTTTGGCTATCTGCTAAAAATAATTTTCAACTCTAATTAATGAGCTCTAATTAGCTAAGAAACAGGAAGTTAACTGATTTTTAAGGAATTAATTAGCAAAAATGTGAAAATCTTAATTCTAAAACAAAGTCAGAGACTGGAAAAAATGGTGTCAAAAGAGACTTCAATAATGTACCTTGGAGCTTTGGTAACAGTGATCACTGATTAATGGCTGTTGATTAAGATAAGGGGTTCTTAAGCAGTGGGGGTTGATGAGGCTTTTCCATCAGTCATCAAAGAATGGAGTATCTCTTAGAAGACCTGGCAGCTCTAAAGTAAATAAACAACACAAAAGTTTACAATACTTAAAAATGTGCACCACATACATGACATACAATAGCATATTCTTAGAAAAAGTCTACAAGTATACAGTTACATGAAAATAATTATCATGCCAAAAAAAGGGACCAAAATGGTTGCATCAACATCAATACAAAAAAGGAAGAATTCCTCACAACAAAGGCCAGAAGAAAATAGGGACCACCAGCCCAGACCAACTTCTACATGTAGTTCCCATAAGGAGACAAAGTAAAGAGGAGTTTCAGGACATTCTATGGACACAGAAAAATGGAACGTTTGCAGTTAAAGATACCGAGAGCTGAAGCAGTGAGATGAAGTTTCTACTTTTTGAAGTTTCAACCTGGGCCAAGTGAGGTCCAGCCAGTAGACACCTACATGGAATCTGTGTCAGATGACCCAAATTCAAAATTATACAAAGTACTTCACCAAGAAAAGACAGCTAAATTGTGAAACAATGCATTTCAAGAACACTCACACAAGGACACGTCTCCTTCCCAGTTTGCTTTCTATAAACTTCCCATTTCCAGACTGTGATAGTCCACTGGACTGGAATCAGCATGGATCCTTTCAATCGGATGTAAGAAGAGCCACTATACCAGTCACCGAAAAAAGCTTTACGAAGAGGTGAGAAGATCTGGCAGGGGACGAAGAGCTCCACAGCTGAATATGCCCATGGCTGTCGGTTACCTGGGTACCAGTCTTACAACAGGGGGTATGCGTGGTATGCTTCTTGGTGCAAATATTGAACCAGCGTCAGCCACCAACATGCAACAGACCTGTAACAAAGTGGGGAAAATTATTACCGATGTAAATAAAAACAGTATGAAGAAAATTCGGCAGAATATTCAAGAACTTAATGAAAAATGTGGACTTCCGGATACCCCCATCAGAGTGGAAGGAAATGCTCGGTACAATAATGCCACTTTCAGTGCCATTGGGAAAACCCCATTCCAAGCTGCCACCCAAGTGAGGTATATATACCGTAAGTGAAAATGTAACCCAGAGGAAGAATGTGGTAGTGGTTTCTGTGGAAATAAACTATGTGAGAAAGGTGCACACCTATGAAGCAAAGGAAAGGAAGTTACCTGCCCAGGACATGAAGACTGCACTGCAACCATTCCTCCGGAGACCACCATTGGAGACGAGAAGAGATGGGCCGCTAATTGTGTTGGTGAGTTACAAAGTGATGACCCTCCACTAGTCATATCCCATTTCACCAGTGATGGAGACAGTGCCGCTGCATCTGGTGCATCTGAAAAACAAGGACATGTGATTGAAAACCTTAAGGACTTGCATGACTCTCAAAGAAAATAGACTGTTATATAAGGCTCCATTCAGCAGTCACATGTTTCCGAGAAGAACCAAGGCCATAAGAGAATCCATGCAGAGAAGATTTGCCTTGGACCTGAATCTTCGATGCAGGACAGAGTACGAGATTTGCTACAAACACTACTCCGGCGACTTACCTTTGATGAAGCGTGCTATGTTTACTGCAGTTGGTTCCCTCATAAACTGCTACCAGGGACAGTGCGGGAAGTACTGTCAACTCTATATTCCTTTTCCTGTCGTGGACTGAAAAGCAATAAGTGGAAATCTTCAGTTTTGCTTAGTGACTTTGAATTAAACATGACAGAAAAAGACAAATGTTTGTTAAAAGACTGTATAAATTTGACTTTAGGACAAAGTAATTTTAATAGAATCAAATATCATACTTGTACACAAAAATATGAATCTGTAAATAAGGCATATTTAAAATCAAATCCAAAATGTATTACAAGAAGTAGAAATTTTGAAAGTAGAATACATAAAGTTGTGCACTCACAGAATAGGGTCATGGAAACTCAACACCGGAACTTTGTGAATCTGTAGGGGCAGTACCTGTTGTAAAAGGAAGTAGAGTGGTCCATCACCTAAAACAACAACAAAATAGACAAAATTACTTTAAAATGAAACAAAAACTGTTAAAATACTAATCTCAAAGAAAATAATACAGAGATCTACATGCAAAAGATACCTGATGTACGATAAAAAATCTAAAGACACTTACAGTAAATCATTGACAGATCCAAAATCAAAAAGGAAGTTGTAAGACTGTGAAGGGGGGAGGGGGGGCACTGATGATATGTACATGCATTTTAAATGTATAAAATTTGTATTTAAAATATATTTTGTGAACTATCTTACATGTAATAATTGTTTTTATGGTTCACTATGCATTGATTATTTTCAACTGTGTAAATGGGGAAAATGTGGACATTTGAATAATGTATTATTGTATGTGTAAAATGTTACATTTTGTTATACGAGAGAGTCTGCACATGTAAAAATGTTATATTCTTTATAATTTAGCTCATTAAAATTATTTAAATTAAAAATCTTGTTTTTTTTTACCTGTGTGATGAACACAGTAACAAAGGTTACAGAGGCGATTGGTAGAAATACGGGTAACACGGGTGTCAAAACTGTCCGTTGATGACCAAACTGTATGCCGCATTGTTTATCCGCCATTATTGATCTTTTCAAGGGGAGACAATTCCTGAAATCAGAAAAATTTTTGTGAAAATGAGAGTTACCTGTCCCTCTTTAGGTCTCACACATTTTTGGAAATAATTTCATTATGTACAATTACTACATAGCTTGAATTGAATTATTTAATTAATTAGACTCTCAGCAGAATTCATGAAAGAGAAAATAAAGATTAAGGCTTAAACAAAAATTTGAGATCAGAAAAAATATGCCTTATGCGGCTTTTAAGAAAGAAAATTGACAGTAAACTTACCTACCCACATGTTGACAAACAGCCTACACACCGTCCAGGAAGTTGCATCATGCACACCTGAAAAAAAAGACTTCCTTTTAATTCAGTTGGATAATTCTGCTAAAGATATGATATTCCTAGTCAAGAGTCCAAATTTAATACTGTAGGCCTAAAACAAAATGCCAAAAAGGAAAAAAGAAAAAAAAATGTATCTATGTATACATCGTCGCAAACCACGGCCAAAATGTACGATCCTCTCCCATCCTGGCCGTGGTTGAACGAGAAGAGAATTTCTCGTGAGTTCATTAAAATATTGACCAATGCTAGTAAAGTATAGTCGGATAGTGAACTTCGATGTAACCTTTCATTACCCAATCACAGTGTACGAAATATTTCTTGTATACTGCTGATGTAAATTGTTGATTTCAAATGCGATGGAAACAACACTTGTCATTGACTGAATATGACATCACAATAGAAAGGCATGAATATTCAAGATTACGACACTTTTTGTGATTAAGCAGCCACGGGTAGGAGAGAGCTATATGCAGACTCCGGACCGTGGTTTGAGACGATGCTAGTATGTATATGGAACTTTAATTGGCTAAGTTCATTTTGATTGGCTATTTCCTTGCATAAGACCTTTAAATAACAACATCGTAAAAAAGCCTGGAAAATGTCAGATTTTTCGGACTAAGTACTAGATTATATGCTGAACATGGTAAATAACTTGGTTTATATATGATTATTATTACAATAAATCTGAGGGTATAGACTTCTAAATCTCTATCTCATTTACATAAATGTGCAAATACAATTAATGTATGTCATTATTTCTGACCAGAATTAGTTGATGATTGTCAAACATTTGCACATACAGATCAATAAAAAAGGCTTTCAGTTTTATAAATAAAATTAAACAAGAGACCATGGGCCACATCGCTCACCTGAGCATGGTGGCTAATGGAGGGGACTATGATTTGAACAAACTTGAATCTACACTAACAAAGATGTCTGCATATTTCTTTGACAAACTATGGTTTTTTCCCTACCAAGTATGTGCCCCCCATGATTTGAGCAAACTGGAATCTACACTACCTGGGGATGATTCCTTATAAGTTTCATCTTTCCTGGCACAGTACGTGGTTCTTGAAAAGAGAATTTTTAAAACATGCCATCAAATTTTCAAGAGTGTCAATTATCTCCCTTAAAATAAGACGTGGCCCTTCATTTGAAGAAAATTGAATCCCCATCACCCAAGGATGCTTTGTGGCAAGTTTGGTTAAAATTGGCTAAGTGGTTCTGGAGAAGAAGTCGAAAATGTGAAAACTGCACAGCTAGACAGACAGACGGACTACAGTACATAACAGAAAACAGAACATTATGGATATAGCTTACCTACTTTTTCGTGTCACGTCTGTTAGTAGTGTTATATTGGGCACTACATTTGGAATCAAACCTTAGCGTACAACTGCCCTCTGTCAGTGTTTGACAGTTTCATGAGTTTGTGTGTTTTTTTTAATTTGACGCCAATGTGAAAAATATTTTTTTCAATATTGATCCCGATGCAAATTTGACATAAAAGTGAATTACAGTACATGAAAAGAATTTAATTCAAAATGAAAACAAGTAGAGCTTTTTTAAAAAGCTTCCCGTCTTTAGCAACAATCTTAAACTGTAAACTGATCTACAACTATCAGGCCGTATAATTCTTGTGAATTTCTTGATTTTGTATTTTACTGGCATTAGCCCTACCACGGTTGTCGCTCGGTCATCTCCGTAAACTTGCCGAGAGCTTTCGGCAAACCTCGGCTGATTCCATTTCCTTCTTCAAACAAGAAAGGGGAAAAGAATAATAACAAATTGTAAAGCCTGCAAGCAATAAAAATCAAATTTTATTTATAATGAAGTTAAAGAGATCTTTTTATTTTTTGCTATACAAAAAATCATGTTATTAGGAATTAATTACTGCTGATTTTGCTGTTCCTTTTGTCATTTTTTTTTAAGATTGAAAATCTTGCAAAATTGTTAAGTCGTACGAAAATTAGATCATCAGAAAGTTATCTCCCTTGCCTTGAACAGCATTTCAACCAATGAAATAATTAAAAATTTTCTCATCATGCATTTTCTACCAATCACAAAAGAGAGGAAGTGCATAGTCCGAAGACTGTAAAAAACTTCAACTATACAATACCGTCTTCCAAGGAAGACGGTAACAAAGATGTGTTTGTGAAATATAGATTCAGCTAATGACAGCTCTATTTAGGCCAAGATTAGGGTTTTCAAATATATCTCTAACTCTAAGGTCAAGAACTAAAATTAAAACATGATATAAATTAATGATAAAATGATTGCCCCCTTACCCCCCCCCCCTTTTCCAGTAAAATATTAGTGAAAAACGCGATTTGAAATAGATTCAAGATTTCAAAACATTATACATGTATCATACTTAGACCAAAATAGCATGTATTTCCAAATATAACACTGTATAAGGAAAATAAAAGTTTCTGTTTAGTTCTACTAGTACAAAAAAATGACCTTCATTTTTGCGGGGGGGGGGGGGGGGGGTCACTCTATGTTCAAAATGAACTAGATTTTCTCAGTGCTCAAAAACATTTTATTTTTCATTTTGCTATTATAATAAAACAAGAGGCCATGCTGAATACTATCCTGTAGTAAAAAAAAAAAGAAAAGTATAATTTTTTTTTAATAAAAAAAAAGGGGGGGATCGTCCGAGATTCGATCTCGGGACCTCTCACATGTGAAGCGAGAGACATACCACTAGACCAAAGATCGCTTTATATAAAGTGAAGCATATGCAATGGTAAAGTCACATACATGTATATATTCATGTTCTGTATTGTCAAAATTAATGGACCACATCGCTCACCTGAGCCCTGTGGCTAAAGGAGATGAATATGATTTGAACAAACTGGAATGCTTGAATCAACACTAACAAAGATGCCTGCATATTTCTTTGACTAATTATATGACTCCCGGACCGGAACAAAATTAAATCTACACTACCTGAGAATCCTTCAATGTAAATTGGATTAATCATGGCTTCAATTTGCTGTGTCCAGGAACTTCTTTATAAGATTTTTTCCTGTATATTACAATGTGAAACTTTGATCGTCCGTTGTGGCCCCGCCCTATACCCGGATGTCATGATTTGAACAAAAATGAATCTTCGCTATCATACTTTTATCATACACAGAATGAATAGCACAAAGGGTCCTTAAGGACATACGCAAGGTACCTTACCTGCTGATAATTTTTCAAGATATTCTAAATTTAAGATTATAGTGCCATCAGATATTCATAGAAAAAACACAGCATGTATTACCAAGGGTTTTTGGAAGATATTAAATTATGAAAAATTTTGCATTATTCAAAGAAAAATATGTAAAAATTACAAAACATAATTTCCAGATTTTTTTCATCAAAATTTGTTTTAGAAGAGGTGTAAAAATCCATACATAAACATTTAAAGTATTGCACACATGTCCTTCATTTAGTGGAACTCTTCAACTCCAGAGTAGAGCCCAAGTTCAAACTATGTTGCATATGACTTTAAGGTCAAACTTTCACATCGGCATCGTCGTTATTCAGTGAGAACGTAATGACGTCGCGTACAACAAATTAACTATTAACTTTCCTATTATTCAAATAACTTTTATAACACATATACACTCTAAAAAGATGGGTTTTTTTGATAATTGACTTCTTCCAAGATCTTAAATTCTCAATATATACCATGAAGTTGCCTTTGTTCTCTTCCATAGGCAGATCTAGTAATTGCGACCAGGGGGGGAGGGGGTCTAGACAGGTTCTGAAAACAGATTTTGTTAATTCGGAAATATGATGCTTGTACTGTAGTAACTGTACAATTCAACGCTAAGATTTTTTGATACTAGTATTTAATATTCTAGCTCGATTAAAAGATACAAAGCCCTTGTACATTAAAACATAAAAACTACTGATGACCAATAATTTGTTCTATCAAAAATGTCGGGTCGTCATTTAAAGAAAGTAGATAATTTCTTGACAGCTAAATATATTGTTTCTTTTCATATTTGTTCATGCATATATTTTTAAAAATAAGTACACTATTTTATACTCTTGGAGGTTTGTTGAGGTGGGGATTGGGGTTCCAAATTATTTGTATTTAATTGCTAAACAAAATGCAAACTCAATTTCAAGCTTTCATCCGAACAATACAAAATATAATCTAAAGTAATTGTTATCAGAAAATAGTATTTCAGGCATCATCTTTATAATTACTTTCTCTAAAGTACTCCGTATTTTCGGCAATTGCTTTCGAAAATCAAGAATGTCGCCAGTGTGGCGCAGTGTTTAGAGCGTCTGCTCTAGAGTCGCGGAGTAAGGAGTTGTTCCTTACGTCGCGGGTCCGAATCCCACTGTGGGACGTGGAGACCGGACCTTCGGATGAGATCGTTTAAACTAGGTCTCGTCCTGCAGCAGTTGCTAGCAAGAAAAGACCCCTCCATGCTCAATGGACCTAAGTGCGGAGTATTGGACAAACATTTTCGAGAGGGATGTTAAACAACATAAAAACAAAGATAGCAAAGATCAAGATATTGCACTGTTATTATTTTATTGTTGCCAGCTTGGCGGTAGAAAGAGCATCATATCGGCTCTAGAGTCGCGGAACTACGTAAGGATTTGATTCTTACCGTGGGACGTTGAGACCGGTCCTTCGGATGAGACCATACAAAGCGAGATCCAGTGTCGCAGCATATGCTGGCACGAAAAAAGATCCCTCACTGCTCAATGGCCTTGACAAGTGCCGAGGCAAGGTCAAAATTTACAGCTCTCCAACGGCAAGTGGTAGCGTATCCATATTACATAATTAGTGCAAAAGTCTCGAGAGGGGACGTTATATACAATAAAGAAATAGAATTCATACACATATTGTTCCCTATTGTATTGTGATTATTTATCCACAAATTTCCCCTTTTTTGTAATATTTTTACTCAATTCTCCTCCATTGAGGTTTTAGAAAAATTCATAAACACGTTCCTTCTTGTATTATGATAAGCCTAAGGTACATGTATAAGCATACGTCATTCACAATTTTTTGTTATATTTTTATAATTTATACAGGAATGTCCCCTTTTGAATTGTCATCATTCATACTCACAATGTCCCCTATTGTATTGTTATTTTTTTTACACAAATGTCCCATATTGTATTGTAAATTTCTATACACAAATGTCCCCTATGTAATGTAAATTTTTATACACAAAATATGTCCCCTATTGTGTTGTACTTTTTTATACACAAATGTCCCCTATTGTTATGTGGATTTTTATACACAAAGTATGTCCCCTATTGTAATATGGATTTTTATACACAAAATATGTCCCCTATTGTGTTGTAGTTTTTTTTTTTACTCAAGCCCTAGAGGGGCTTGAGTTATCTGAAACGATGCTAGGTCATCGATTTACGCAGTTTAAATACACAAAAAGATATTATTTTTGTAGATAAAAATATTTCTAGAAACAAAAATGAAGCTTATCTTGAAAATGGATGTACGAGGGGCATTTCAAAAGTTCTGGCAACTGTTTAATAAAAGATTAACCGTTTTACGGAAATTATTGAGTTTGACATCATTGGAAAGATCCGAAAAATATACACATATTATTATTCAAAGATATTAAGCGTTAAATGTCGGATTCTATTCTATGGCGAATGAATAATGAGTGAAGCTCCGCAGCCGCAACAGTTTCTGTACAGAGATTTCGCGCTTTCCTTTGCGTAGGAATCTCAGGTAATTTTTACAGTCGCCGACAATGCATCATTGGACGAGTACAGTGATTACTCTGAAAGGTGAAGCAGGTTACCCATCGTTAACAAAGTCTACTATACATGGCCAGAAAATGTATGGTTGTACCCCCATTCTGAAATTGCTTTTCATGGGCCTGAGAATGATGTTCATGTGCGCTTTGAGTGACAGTGATTTGATTTGAACATAAAATGAGTGACAGTAACATAAAAGCACAAAATTAATCTTAAATTCTCCCTCATACTTTTTTTAAATTCTAAAAAATCGTACTAATAATCTTCAGCTTTGGTAACGAAACCTATATAACTTCTTTTGGATTTGTTTGGAATATGTATTAGACATGCCGCACAGCTAGATGAACCCATAGTCATGTGGATTTTTTGGTGCCCTGAGCCCCCTTCCCTCTATCCACTTTGAAAAACGTTTCTATCTGTAGGCTTGTAAAGAGCTATTTGGATTGATGTATATTAGATGTTGTGAGGTACGCCATTAAGCAAAAATACACCAAAAAAAAACGTAAACATGTGTATATAGTTTGAAGTATATTAACATAAAAAAAAATATTTCATTAAATCAAGAAAAGGCCACTATGCTCTATAACATATTCCTGAAAGTGAGTATCGTAAATTCATCTTAAGGTCAAGATCTAGTAAATAACTTGAGACCAATTTTTTGGTGCTAGATCCATTATGACGTCATAATCATTGTTTTCCCTTACTTTACGGCTTTAGTA